TTCCCCTCCTCTTCTACTAGATCACAGCTACTGTAGTGACGGCTTAATGCATCGGCAATTATGGAGTCAATGGAGTAAAGACCTCTTGTAGAAAAGACCACGTGTTGAATACATGTAACCGGGTTTAGCCTCGGACAAATCTGACATGAGAACGCCCTAGTTTATTATTTTTAAAGTCATTTTTGGTCGCACACCTGTCAGAGCACACTGCAGCCACCAACAGCATCTACCGCAGCCTGCTATGTGGAACGTTTAGGGAGCATCAGTAAATCATAGTGTCTATCAATAAGAAAATGTTCAGCAAGTCCTATGTTTTGCCTATGACCAGTTGGGAGGTGCAACAAAATGAGAAAGTGGGTCGTACTGGTGTTACCAGTGAAAAAGTTAGTCTGGAGCCCTGAATAGTGTTTTTTTCATTATTTATGTGTTTTGAGTTTGTACAGATCCTGTAAATATTGATGAAAGTTTGATGAATGGTTTTGCAATTTAGTTCTGGTCAGTCTTGATAATGTTAAATTAGATTCTGATTAGAACATCCTCCAAAGGTAGAACATTTGCACTCCTGTAAATCGTTGTGCCTGATGTTACTCATGTTCTAATTTGTGATTTAAAATAAAAGTTCATTTGCAGAAGCTTTCACCAGCCGCCACTGATGGTATTACTTGTATTTTGAATTCTTTTGGCTACGATAGTGACATAGTGAGTCTGATATTGTAACAGCCCTATTGGACGACCAGTTTTTCAGGTTTCAGATAGTCATGATTTGTCTTCATCTTGTGGCATGTGATCGATTTTTTCTGACTTCTGTTTCTGTCTCCAGTCTGACCTGCATATGTCCTGCAGCCTCTGCAGGCAGCCGATGGCCAGCAGGTCTTTGCGTCGTGACTCCAGGAAGCGCTGAGCGTGTTCCATCAAATCGACACTGGGCGGGAACAAGCCTGTACACATCCACAGCAGCTGCCAGCCGCGCTCCATGCTCAGCCTGTGAGAGAGGCGGGGAGAAATAAAAGGACATGTTGGCGACTGATTTTGTATGGTTTTTAATTTAAATGCAAGCTACACACACTGAAGGGGCACCTGCTGCGGTTGTTGGTCATCTGCCTCATTATCTGGCAGTAGATCTCATCCTGCAGCTCTCTGTGCTGCATGGCTGGACCAAAGATCACGTCAGTCAGCTCCATCGGACTGCGCATCTGTTTGATGGGGTAGTCGCCCATGTACTTCATGATAGGTGGCAAAGTTAAGGACTGGAACCAGGGTCTGGGTCACACAGGGTCCTTTTACCTGTTCTAGGCAGAAGGGCTCGTTCCTTCAAATCTACACATTACATACAAACTGATTTTGTCTTTCTATGTTATGAAAACTTCCCTTATTCTCAGAAATGTGTCATTCACAGGCAGCAGAACACACACTGGTTAATTTCCTATATGAATAATTGTGGTTTTAACATGTGAATATTTGTGAAGCAAACCTCAAAATTAACCCTATGTGCAACAGGGAAACAGTTTTCAAAGGATATCAGTGAAGGCGTTGACGGCCATGTTGCTCAGGTCAGACTTGCGGACCAGACTTTCCAGCAGCGGCTGTTTAAGAGGTTCTCTGGTAGAAATCCACAGTTTCTCCTTGCTGGGCCCCTTCACACGACCGGCAGCTTTACTTGTAGATCTGTGACAGGGAAGACGCTCAGTGAAACAGTCCCGTTTGCTTCTTGTTTTGTTTTCTTCTTGGTCTTAGCAGTCTTTAAAACAACCTGGCAATATCATATGTTTGAGAAGTGCCGTTTCGTAAACTGACTTTAATACAGTTTTTTTCTTACCTGAAGCGCTGAAATGCAAACTCTTTCAAAGAAACAGGGGCCACTGTGTCTTCTTCCTGAGGTACATTTACAGCGGCTGCAGTTTTCTTCTGGCTCGGACTGAGCAGTTCCTACAGGGTCAAAAGCAGTGTATAAGCTCAGTTCATACGTAATGCAAGCACAACCTTCTGTGGTTTTGAATAAAATCATTTTCATTCTCTGACTAATTTTCAGCCGTCGAAACACACAATCTGTCATGTTTCATTCAATCTCTTGCACATTGCCGTAAAGCCAATCTACTGGGGGAAAAAAAGAATAATTAAGTATGAGAGGTAAAGGAAACTCTACCAGCATTTCATTTGTGGGCCTGTCAAGAGTCGGCAGAAACAGGACTGTACGCTTATAGACTGCACCGCTGCGATCGGTCCGCTGGTTATGAGCTGTGATCCAGTCCTGCTCAGGTGAGGCCTCGTCATCTTTCTCTATCAGCAGCAGGTCGCCTCGTTTACAAACCAGGAACCTTTTGTCTTCTAGAGAAGCAGAGAGACAGAAACACATGAGTGTGCTGCTTTGTTAGAAGTTGTTAATCTAAACTTCATGTGTTGTAGCCTCTTACCTGGTTTAGTGGCTTCCTGAACCAATGCATACACTGAACGCTTTCTCAAGCCTTCCACGTTTTCCTCCATCAGTGCCGCCATGTCTCTAGCTTCCACAGACCTCAGGACGAACTCTGCTCTGACTGTGGTCAGAGTCATGTACTGGGAACTCATGTGGTTCTCACTGGACACATCAGAAAACATCAGAGTTTCACTTCTGAGATTCTTGTAAAAGCACAATTAAAAATACTTTGTAAGGGCATAAACACAAAGAATAAAAGAAGGAATGCGTACCTGAGCATGGAGACCTTCTTTACCTCGAGGTAAGGAATCTCGAGGAGTGTCTTTTCTCGTCCTTCCATGAATACGATGCCCCTCCAGTTTACTGCAACAACAAACCTGCTTTTGGGCAAAGGAGGTCCTGTGGACAAATATGCAAAGATGTCTCAAAAAGCAACTGATTATTGCAATTCAAAAGGACTGTTAAGCAAGAGCGTTGCAGGAATGCAGCAGAACGTATGGCAACACAGATATATTTCACATATTAACTGTATTACATGTGACATTCGGCTGAAATAAGCACAGCTGCAGTAGGATCGCATTATTTAGTCTTTAACAATGTATGACGGACATGATTATATCCAAAAGTACTGACAGAAAAAAAAAACGCAAGTCAGGAAAAACTGCATGCTGACTGACCTGACGTCATTGTAACATCGTAGAACTTAGAGAAGTCGAGCGTCCATTTCTGTCGGGCCATTTCCACCAGCTGTCCTTTCACACTCTCGCTGCTCTGTGTCTCGCTTGAATAAGGCTCCTGCAAAATCAGGAGGTAAAAATAGGTGCTTCACTTCTACTGTGCTCACACGACGCTAAAATAAACCTGGAAATAAGTAAATACTCTATAAGGTTTATGTGCAATTGAATGTGCACGCAGGGACTGAAGAGACTCATGTTTGATTTAGGCTCTGGCCTCGTTCAAGAAACACGTACGGCGGCTTCTTTTGTGTTTTACCTGTTCGAGGGGAGAGCTGATGAATTGGATCCATGTTGTCATTGATCTGTTCTCAATCAGGTGGGTGGGGATGCACTCGTCCACCACCCCCTGGACCCTCTCTCTTCTGCAGCGTGAGCCAAACCGGATGTAATAGTGCATCGCTGCCAGCTGGACGTAGTCGTCCTCCTGAGAGACGCAACAGTTTTATTAGATAGAATTTTTTGTTAGAAAGACAGGTTAATTTATTTACTTTTTCTGCTTATTTGGGATGTGATGTGACTTAACATGCTGCATAAGAAACGGTGCACTGATACCTACTGCAAGTGATGTCAGAACAGAAATAATGCAGATTATGATATTCTCTAACATTAGATGATCTTATTCAGTTGCTTTTCTTTTGTCTGTTCAAACTTTTTGTTACGTGAAAAAAAGAGAGGAAGAATTTTGGCAGATTGAAGTAAATCTATCCTATAAGGATGATTCTTGCTTGCTGTGCAGAAAGACACTGTTGGACACTTACACCTTTTAAGCTGAAAAGGTAAAACTGCTGAGAAATATCTATCGTCATCTGATAAATGTACCTCCAGTTTTCACTCTCCTCACAGTGCTGTTTTTTCAGTTCTTCCAATCCTCTTAGCTGGTATATATTTCACCATAATCACTGGCTAGTAGCTGTCTGTGTCTTTCTGTCATTTGCTGAAAAATGCTAAAATATCCTGTAGAGCTGAAGGGAGCTGTAAAGTTGTACGTTTTGTCTTTGAAAGTTTGTCACTAAAAGCCACAACTGATCACATCATTTGTTTCTTTTGATCACGTAAAAATCCTGACTTTAAAAGTTTTAAACTTCGAGCAAACTCAAAACACTCCTAAACAGATTGACAAGCAGTTTTGTTGGCCCTAACCAACCTAGGTTGCAGTGGAATAGCCAAAAAAAACCCCACACAAAACATTCCATGTCAAGACTTTTCCTCGATTTCAAAAGAAAAAGCCTTGAGGTCTTGAAAAGACGTGAAAGAGAAATCACGAGGAGACAGGAAAGGAAGCATGGATGCCCCTTCTCTTAGTATTTAACCAGCTCTTACTGTGGCTGCCACTTAGATACTTTGACGTCATTTCGCTGAGTAAGAACCACTGCAGCAGCCAACAGTAAGAAATGAGGGGCCAGCATCATTATTTGCTCCAAAGAGGGCCAGTTTCATTGTGTATACTGTGTTTGAAAGGAAATTCCACCACAAAGCTGGACAAATGTTGTTTTCCACAAGAATACAGGAAGTAGGAAAGCCTGAGTGTGTGATCAAACCATTTCCAGAGCCTCACCTGGTAACTGACGTACTCTCCGTTCTTGATTCCCTTGATGACCTGCCTGTAGATTAGATCTGTGCTGACTGGGTCCTTGGAGCTGTCGTGCCACGGTGTGAACACTTCCTTGCGGATGGAGAGCCTCCAGGGGGCGTCCTTCTCCTCCATGTTCTGCCTCCTCATCTCCTGCTCGCACTGAGACACCGCATCAAACACGTGCTTCTCGCAGCTGCTCAGAGACCACATCTGGAGACAAAAGACCAGTGAGGCTGACTACAACCTTTCCGTCCTGGAGTTTCAGCACTGATTGATTAATATTCTGAAACCAGATTCAGAGGATGCAGAGCTTGAAATACCTTATCATAGAGGCTGATGTACAGGGAGAATCCATAAATGTCTCTGAGGCCAACCTCGTTGGCCGCAGCTTGGCAGACTTCGGCGGAGGTGGAGGCTGATTCCAGAGGTAGACTGACACTACGACCGTCCATTAGAGTCACAGACACCTCTATGGGCGCCTTGGACTTGGCTGCCTGTCAGTATGGAGAAAGAGGAGCAGTTGTTGTAATGATCACAGCAAACCCTTTGTTTATAACTAAACTCCTGCCCAAAAAAATCCTGTTCCTGCCAACAAAAAGACAAAACAACAAAATAAAATTAAGACCACAGCAGAGCTGATTCAGTGTATTTACCTGCAGTTCTACCCAACAGGGCAACTCCTTCCTTTCTCCATTGGCTATGACACGTTGCAGGCGATTAGAACAATACTGCTTGTAACCTTGAGGCCCTTTGCTGATGAAATTCTCCAAATACTGTGGAACAGAGGAGAACAGGACACGTGGTGATATGTGGCTAAATTGGAAATGGATCAAAGAAAGTTAGCGTGGACTGCACGGTGGGTCTCCTGGAATCAAGACCGCCTCTGAACATGATACGCATCTCAGTCAAACGAATACGAGAACTGTCTGAGTCACTGTAAATGCAAACATTGCTCAGGTTTCAGGAGCGCAGTGTGATGATAGACTAAGATGGATGGATATTGGTACAGTAGCAACAACCTTTTACTAGCTGATTTTACCAATTACAGAAGCTAGAGTATGTACAGACAAGTAACGCATTAAAGGTAAACCCAGATTCATGAGTGGAAGAACACAACAAGAGCAGATTAAGCAGTTAACATCCATTCATGCTCCGTAGCAGGTACAAAAATGGTGACAGTTGATTCAGATTGGATATCAGCAAAAAAATACAAGATCTAATTGATTTTGAAAAACGGTTAGTTGTTGGGGCACAGATGGCAGGAGCTTCAGTCACAAGCACTGCTCAGCTGGTGTCAATAGGAACAGTTACATATGAGACATCTACATTTAGATCTTTGAGAAAGATGTCAACAGAGAAGCCTACAAATTGTGGTCAACAGCAATATGTACGGAAAAACACAAAGTGAACAGAAGGACTGAGAATGACAGACATCGTCACAGCTACGTTACCAAGATGAACGCACATTGAGAATTCAGTGATGCAGAAACCATAAAGATGTGGAAAGAAAAGACAGATGGTCCGCGATGTGTCCACACATGGTGATGCAGCACTTTACTAAGACGGCTTATGTTGGGGTTTGTCACCTGTCTGTATCTTACAAACATCTCGCCATCGTTGGCAGAGACTAAAGCAGCTCACATCTAATTTGAGAGCTCAGTGTAACACTTTTCCATTCTATCTTTGATTTGGAATTAATAAGGTTACACCAAATCCTTCTATAAACACAGAATCCTTATATAAACACATAATGAAATACATAGCAGAGCACATGTAAGCAGACGCAGAATATTTGAGCGCTGCATAAACCTCAGTTTACTGAAAACGATACAGATAGAGAATGTGCAATGAGTCACGTTTTATTCTGCAATCAGTGGTTGTCTAAAGCGACTCCGTCCGTTTGGATTTTACAGTGTTTAGCCAAGCGTGCTTGATCTTATCTTACTTTACTGTTTTAAGCGTATCAACCCACCAAGTAGGTGTGAACTAGATGTATCTGTGTTTATCGTTCTTTCAAGATTATTTCAGATAAGAGGCGAAGCTATTCTAAACAGTGATAAATGGAAAATTGGGAGGAGACAGGAGAACGAGCCTTCAACTATGAACAGAGCGACTTTCCACAGACCAGAGGTTTTCTGAGTCCCCTCAGACAACGCTACAAAAAATGGTGCCTCCTCACCCCTGTTAAGTCAATCCTGGATGTCTATGGGATCATAATTACGTTATTTAATCCCATAGACACTCCTACTAACCTGATAGTGGTGTTTGATTTAACTTCAGACTTTACGAAATGCATGAAGAAGATCTGCCGTTTCTGACTCTGGAGAATAAAGCGCAAAATAACTCCTGCATCTCTGAACTACGCCTTTAACCAAATAACATACACAGATCCAAAGTTGTGTAGGAGTATGGATGGAAAGGGCAAGATCTTGTCAGACTGACGTGATTTACAAAGAGGTAGATAAAGACGCTACATAAGAAGTAAGAGGGCCATGCAAGATACAAGCACTCCCTACCTCTCACTCTAAAAACCTCCCTGCTGCAGACTGACCTTCAGAAACTTGTTTGTCGGAGGGAAGATCCCAAGACAGACGGAGAGGAGAGTCCAGCCGAGCACGCGACTGTATCTGCTGCGATTGTTCACCAGCTGCTTACAGATCTGGCAGTAGATCTCGTCTCTGGGAAGGAAAGCAGGAGAAAGCAAACATTACATCTCGGTTCTATGCAAAAAAAAATCATATTTTCTAAGTTTGTCTCCATTATGTTTATGACATTTTTACCGTATGTCTGGTCTCGACATTGCATAGCCAATGATAATGTGGAGTTTTTCTAGTTGAGTTAGTGGCCGATCCAGTGTCGGACCCTCCCCGATCATAATGTCCTCGTCTTCTGTCAGGTTCTCTGGCTGGTTAAGATGACGAGAATAGAAGCAGTTATCAGACAAAACGTATTATGAATCAAAGGACAAATGATGGTCAAATGATGAATACCTCCTCAAGAATAGTTGAGGCTTTCCTGTTTCCACCTCCAAGCTTTTTCTTGTTCCTTCTCAGTATTTTCTGTTCAGAAATGACATGATAACGAGAGGTTTTGTCATTTCATTTTTGCTCTCAGCTGTTTTCAGTAGACAGCAAGATGAATTCAGGTATTTGTTGTAGTTTACCTGGTCCAGTCCCACCAGGCTGCTCAGCCTCCTGCCCTGCCTCCGAGGCACGTGGCGGTTGATGGTGCTCGATACTTGGGATATCGCGTCCGCTGATCTTGGTTCTGGTGCGTCACTCATGAAACGCAGAATAATCCACGATATAGTGAGACATGCCTGGAAGAGCGGGAGGAAATTGTTAGCGTGAGATAGAAATATTTGGAGTTTGCAGGTAGAGAGCTGCCCTTTTTTTGGCCCTCTCACCAGTGCATCGCCCTCATCGTCGTGGGTCAGGAGAGGCCTCCTGAGTCTCTGTGGGATGTGCTTGTGATCAGACCACTGGAAGTGACGGATGCTGAAGTTGTAGAATGAGAACTCGTCGCTCTCGTCATCAAACCCGTCGCCCTCGTCCTCGTCCTCGTCGCCCAGTAAAGGGCTGGGTGTCATCGAGGCTCGAGAAACTTCCAACAGCTCTGAGGTTTCCTCCTTCGGCTCTGGAATGCTCTTCACAGTGAAAACAGAGTTAATATCAGATGTGGAACAAAATGTACAACGTGATAAGACGACTGAATGACCAGCTAACCTCAGTATCGGACAGTTGATGTTCCACCACTATTACAGGAGGTATGACCTCATACGTGTCGTCCCCTGAATCGTGTTCCTCCTTCGGCTCTGGAATGCTCTTCACAGTGAAAACAGAGTTAATATCAGATGTGGAATAAAATGCAAGACATGACAAGATGACTGAATGATCAGCTAACCTCAGCATCAGACAGGTCACGTTCCACCACTATTACGGGAGGTACGACCTCATACGTGTCGTCCTCTGAATCGGAGGACGACGAATTCCTTGAATCCCGATCGGAGGAGGACTCGTTTTCCTCCAGAGTTTTCTGTGCGTCGGCGATAGCTTTCAGTCGCTGTTCAAGCTCCAAGGCGATCTGAGCCTCTTCCTCTTGGCGTAAACGGAGGGCCTCCTTCTTTTGCTTAAATTCCTTTCTTGCTTGGTGGCCTCGTACCTACATCCAGTTGTGAGCGGTGCAGTTTCAAATAAAAACGTAGTAAATTAGTAATAAATTGCACTGAAAACACACTACATCTAATGTGTGAAACGCATTTGAATGATTTGAATATGTGGAAAATGCAGGTTCATTTAGGTTCACTGTAAAACACTTTCTTAAAATGTGCACTGATGTTTTTTAATACATCAAAGAATATTAAGCTGACAGTTGTTACACATTAAACATATTTCACTGCACTTTAAAAAAAACAAAACAAAACAAAAACAGAATAAAACTACACTTCATGTTAAACTACAGTATTTAGAGCACATGCCTGGGTCTGGATGGTGAGCGCCGCCGCTCGCTGCCTGTTGTACTGTAACTGGAGCCGCCGACTGCGGATCAGTGACGCTAGGCGCTCGAAGCCACGCCGCATCTAGTTGGAGCAAGAGAAAAAAAAACAGAGGACAAGGCCACTGATCAAGTCTATCTAAAGCATTAAAGTGTAACCAGTGTGTCTGCTTCAAGTGAGTCGTGTGACAGTTCAAGCATCAAACCTTTTTCAGCTCTTGCTTCGCTTTGTGAGCTCTCCAGTGCTTCTGTAACACCACAACCGCCCTCCGCTTCTTCAGGAAAGACAATCTAAAGAAAAAGAAAAGTGAAGTAACTAAATAAACAAACATTGTCCACAATCAACCGCTATCTTTTTATACCTTCTTGGATAATACCTTCTTTGATTTGATTTGTCCGCACACACGTTTATTAAATAATACTGCGTGTTGCTGTGATACCGGTTATCACGGGTAGAGATAGTACCGATGGTACCGATGGTGCCCACAGACAGATGGGAAGATATACACTTTATTGTCCTCATGGGGAAATTCAACTATAAAGCTGGACTCATCATTACAGAAGTCATTTTAAATTGTAAATATTTCCGCATGGATATGATACAAAAAAAAACAAAACATAATCAGATTTAAAAGTCCTAGAAGTAAAGAAGTAGAACTCGACAAATGTACGAGACAAAAGTTCTGTACTTGGTGATTCATTTACTGAGGAAAATAATCCAATGTTACGACGTCTCTGTGAGTTGTAAACATATGTGAACCTCCAGGATTAGCAGTTCATTTTAAACTGAAATTAGACTATTTCTTTTTGAGTTTTCAGTGAGTGGGACAACGATCAGGTGTAAGTGGACAAGCGGTGTAAGTTTTTATTTTTTATTTTTGAAAGAACACGTCTGATCTTCAAAAGAGATTTTCCTGAAAATGGCACAAACGAGGGAGACACTGTGGAGACCATTACGTTGATGGTTTCCACACATAAACTTGCTGCTTGTCTGCAGCTTGCTAAAAATCTGGTTAAATGTCCATAAAACCAAATAAATAGATAAATGTTCAATCCTAGGCAGCAGTCAGATTGTGGTTTCCTGTTTAAAATAAACTTGTGTCATGGGCTGGTTATGTCTAACCAACAGTCTGTGATCACGAACTTGCAAATTTCAGTCCATGATTTTCACTTTTTTTTTTTTTTAGAAATATCACCTGTCTTTGCGTCCCAACATGACCCTCTGTATCACTATGGCAACCCTGCTGAGCTCGCTTTCCCTCAGCCGCTCCAGAACAGCATCATGGGCGTCCTGAAATAAAGGGGAAAAAGACTCATTGTCCAGAAAATGTTTACAATCACACTCCATAAAGATTAACGTTGTCAAAATCAAAGCAGCTAAATCACAGTCAACTGTAAGACACAGCGACACTTTGACAGTGCATAAACCATCTGATAGACAACATCATTATATCCACTCTTAAGATGTCGTTCTGTGTCTTGAGAAAAGCCACGACACAACGCGGTTTGAATTATAAGTTTTACGCACCTTCAGGAAAACTTTTTTCTTGCCTATTTTCCACTCGTCCTTCCCTTCAATCACCGCCTCGCAGATGGCTTTACAACAGGCCGCAGCTGTTTTCTGGAGAGGCAGTAAAGCATTTATGAGAAAATTGCTGAGGAGAGGCTAATGATAGCTTCCGTTCCTCAAGAGGAAAGACAAAAAAGATTCATAGCGACATTTACTGCAGCAGCAACATCCCCGGTTCCAACAAATATGATACAGAATTTATCAAAGCCAGCAGGCAGCAATCTGAAGACTAAATATTGACTTAACAGTTTTGGGGTCGCAGAGGGTCGTCTTCAGCAGCACGCGGTAGCGCTTCATGAAGTCCGCGAAGGTGTGCTGAACAGAATATCCCAGCTTCCGGATACGGACGGTGTCCATCATGCCGGAGTATCTGAGCTGACGCATGCACAGCTCCCTGTCGAACAGCTGGAGGAGGATAGATCAGAGATGTTGTTAGAGCTGTCGTCATCCTCCATCACAGCAAACATCCACGGCTTGGTCACCATTACTGGTACTGCTACATTACTTTCAGGTAAGAGATTAGATGCTGTTAACATGCTGATATTACACAGATATTACATCTACTATCACCATTCACATGCTACCATTTGGAAATGTGCCACACAATGTACAGGTAACCCTGATAGATAGCTACACTTTTAAAATCTGTGTGCATCTTGAGGGGGCAATGAATATTTGCGGCAGACTTCAGTGAAATCCATCCAGCAGTTGTTGTGATACTTCAGTCAAAAAGGTGGAAAAGTCTGGGTGAAATCAAATTCATGAGGATTCATCTTGAACATTTGGACCAAATGGGTACCAGCTACTAGAAAACACTTTGACCTGCTTGTGAAGAAGACTCACCACATACATCTTCTAGGCTACTGCAATCTGTTTTACATGGGAATGTGTCAGGTACTAATATAATACCCGGGTAGCAGTTGATTCAAAATGCTGCAGACTGGCTCCTCTCTGTCTGTTCAGTTTAACAATGACGTTCTGTTACTTGTCTAAAAGTGCTTGGATGGATTAGCCCCAGTTACGTAGGTCACTAGATTAGCATCTCCTTGTATTCCTGAGATCCAAACTGGCAATTAGTGCTGCCTGCGATTTGTCAGTGGCAACTTAAAAACATACATTTTCTGGTTTAGATTCAATGTAATATTTATCTGGGTGTCCAGTACTAATGACTGAACTTGTAATTTACCGTACAGTGATTTGGATTAGTTTGTTGTAATGGTTTTATCGTCTTATGTTTTCTCTTAATTAGTTTTAGTTTCTCTTAATGTAGTTTTTAATTTAGTTCTTCTGCAAAGTGCCGCAGTTGGTAGCACTGCAAGAAGGTCACCGGTTCGGGATAGACTCCAGCCCCCCCGCGACCCTAGTGAGGATTAAGCGGTGTATAGATAATGGATGGATGGATGGTTTTAATGGTTGTGTTGGAATATTTCATTTTGTAAAAGCACTGATAGCTTAGCATTGACTGCAAGAGCTGCGCTGATCTGAAGAAAGGGAAAGAAGGATTCAAGCAGGCCTTGAGGAACTGAATTCATGGAGGTTAAGCCAGGTCAGATAGAAAGAATGCAGCTACACACACACACACACACACACACACACACACACACACACAGATAATGGCACCTATCAGTACCTTGCACTGATAAGCATACCATCCTCCTATGAGCTAAAAGCAGCTAAACAAAGGAAAAGTTATGTTCATTATGTTAGTAGAGAGGATTTTGTTTACAGGGTGTGGATGCTGAGGATTGGATGAATCGTGTGCCAAGAGATATGGACATATCTGTGCACCGAAGAAGGGAGAGCTAGGTTTAAACCACGGTTCCTCCCTAACCATATAGCCATTCATGTTGTACCATTTAGCTTAAATGTCTGTGTTTAGCAGCCACCTCGCACCATACTGAATAAAAAGTTTATGTTTGCTTGAAGCTCCATCCACTGCTGGGAAAGTCGGTTAGAGGTTAACAGCTTTCTGAACCGGTGTTTGATCCTTGGCCAAGCAGAATATCACGTCACAGGATAAACAAATGAGAGAAGTTGTTTGTCTTCTGTCTTAAAAACCGAACACCTCAACAGTTGTACTTATCTGTTGTTGTGCGGCACCCTGCTGTATTTAAATGTGCTATAGAAATAAACTGACTTGATTTACCTTGATGGATTATCAAAATTACTGAGCTATCTTTATATGTATCAAAGAAATGAATCGACCAACAAACCAGGATTTACAGTAACTGAGAAGAACTTACTCTAAATGAACAGGGTTAGATAATCTCCCCAGTTGCTACCAAAGTTCTGTACTTTACACTGTGTGTCTGCAGATAGTACCTTCAAGGAAACATGCTCTGTTGGTTTTATGGCACAAAAAAGGAGATCTTTATTTATCCGGTTCAAAGACTAATCATAAAGGGGAAAAGCCCGATAATAAAATTCTCTCTGTCTTCTTGAGCCAAAGGGAAGTTTAAACTAATTTAGTCAGTCGATGTGGAGTCACTTCGACATCCTCAATATACCGGGAACCAGCAAAGTTTAGAGGAAACGTTTTAATGTAAGTAAGCCTTCAGCTCAGCCTTCATCGAATTTATTTGTCAGGCCTCAGTGAACATCGCTCCGGTTATCTGTTCTGTTACTGTAGCTGCTCACTCACCTCAGACTGCTTGTCGTTGTTGGGTTTGAAGCAGCGGATGAAGAAAGGCTGGCAGACAGACAGGGTCTTCATGAGAGAGTCCAGAGACTGACGGAACTGACCGCTCAGCGTCGGCACTTGTTTACGCTTGTCGTTCTTTGCCTGTGAAGATGATGCCAAGTCATCAATACGGCAACAACACCAGAGTCCGTCTCCACGCATGTCCACTGTATCCCAACGTCAAATAAATGTCTATCCAAGTAAGTTGCACAATGTTAAAATCTTGTTTTTCTAGTATTTGTCAGCGGAGTGAGATTATTTTGCACACATTTCTTTCGGAGTGCAGCTTGATCGTCAGAAACGAGGCTACAGTTTCGTACCCGGAGAGAGCTCCTGGGCGTCATGATGATTCTGCTGTTGCTGGCCACCTTCAACCCATTGTTTGAGAGTTCGCTCTCGAATATCTGGCGCAGCAGCTCGTTGGTGGACAAGTCCACCATCTTGATGATGTCAGAACTGACAGCATCTCTGTTTTTTTCCAGGAACCCTTAACAACAACAACAACAACCAAAGACAGAACATAAATACATTCCCGTACACCCTGCACCGATTAACAGTTATACACACTGCGGTTAGTTCGTGTACCGTTGGAGTCGTAGTAAACCACGCCTGCAAAGTGGTGAATCCCAAAATCTGTGTCGTGTTCTCTTCTGGGGGGAATGTAGACTTTGCTTCCCTTGTGTTGCACGTTCATCTTTTGCAGCAAAGTGGAATCTGTACCCTAAAACCCAAGACAGTGATCATTCGCGTTAAAAACAAAACACGATTTACTTCTGCTGCATTAACTTAAATAAATGCTTTTAATTGTGAAGCGCCACAGTAGAACTTTACCTTCGGAAAGTGGCTCTCTTCATCAATCAGAGCCAGCAGGTTGCAGGGTTTCCCAGTCAGAAGGTCGAGGATGTTCTGATTGTCACTGAACTTGATGTTAGTCCACACAATGCCCTCTTTCAGGTACTGCTCCTGCTCCAGCTTGAAGATGTGGCCCACGAAGAACTGCTGCAGCTTCTCGTTAGCGAAGTTAATGCAAAGCTGCTCAAAACTGTAAAATAAAGAATGGCATGTACACGTTAGAGTTGGGTTGCCATGCAGTTAAGTGACAGTATGTAAAAAATAAAATAAAATCCCGACCTGTTTGTTTGGAAGTTCTCAAAGCCAAAGATATCAAGCAGGCCGATGGACAGGTAGGACTTTTTGGGGTTGTTGGTCAACTTCTTATAGATGACACTGTTGATTTTCTGAGCGATCCACATGAACAGCTTGTTGTAGATCGCCTGAGATACGCAGCAAGCAATTAAATGAGGTTTTCTAAGCACAAGCTAAACTGAATAACAAACTGGATCAATTAAAACTCTGTTGAGTAACTTTGACAAGCATGAAATCATTCTCTCTCTGGTCAAAGGTTACAGATCACCTCATGCTCTGTCAGAGGCTCAAGACGTGTTCTTGCAGTTCATGCAGTCTATCACATTTATAGGCTCATACTCCTTCCATTGTTGGTCAGCATCCAATAAGGAAACACTCAGATTTACTGTCAGCGGCTCGGTGTTATTACCTTGACCAGGGCGTCTCTGCAGTCGGACGCCTGCTCGGAGCTCAGGGGTTTAGTCACTCGTTCCCTGGTGGTCTTGAAGGAGCGATGGGTCAAACTTGTCCCCAGAGAAGATTTCTTGACCTGCAGTAAACAAAAAGAACCTGTAATCAGCATTATTCAGTACTGAAGCACATATTACCTGTTAACAGACGAGGAAACTCACCTCCAGCAGAGACGCTGCGACGCTGAAATGTTTGGATTTACTAACGTCACAGGTTTCCAGGTTGTTCTCACTGGTGGCTGATGGGAACACAAGATCAGAAACACAACAGTTATACGAAATTGCATCACTGGCAATTCTAAATATATGTTACGAGCAGTTATGGTACCCTGTTAGTATGTAGGTTACAGTTATCACCACTAGCTGCAAAATGAAATGCTGCTCATACAATAATATGGCACTTATAATAAAATCGCATCAGACGGAAAAGTAATCTGCTTACTTTTGATATTTAAAATTAATTTTGCAGTTACTTTAACGTGCTTTTGAATGCGCTAGTTTTACCTTCACTGGAGTATTTTTATAGCATTGCCAATGTTTTGTTGTTATCGGTTTAATGACTCTCTGGGATAAACGGAAAACACCCACAAATGGGTACTAAATGTCTGCAGCAAAATCTGTGAAAAATTACAATAAATTCATGCTCCAGAGTTTCCAGTCTTATCTTATGGTTGTTGTTTTACATTTAAATTGACTAAAATGAACAGACATGACAGCTCCTTTATCTGCTTTCCCTTAAATCAGTTTAACTCTGTAAGAGAAAATATGACCTGAGCACACAGGCCCATTCATTTACCGCTTAATAGTAAGTAAGTACAGTAAATTCATCAGTTTAAAATGGTTTAAACATGCTTTGTACTTGTATTTCACGTGTTTGTTTGATTGCTGATAAACCAGCTGCCCTTTGAGACTAAATAAAGTCATTCATTAGTCAGTGGTTCCCAACCTGTTGAATCTAACGTACCCTGTAGTCAACATCGTCTTTCTCTCATGGTTAAATTCATTCACTGGAACTAATTTGAAAGGTCTATTTCTCTCAAATACTGTTGACAAATTTGTCTAAATCTCTGTTGGTGAGCATTTCTCCATTGCCGAGATAATCCATCCACCTCTCAGGTGTGGCATATCTCCATGCTGATTAGACTGCATGATTATTGCACAGGTGTGTCTTCGGCTGGCCGCAATAAAAGGCAAGTCTAAAAAGCGCAGTTTTATCACAGCACAATCCCACAGATGTCGCAAGTTTTGAGGCAGCGTGCAACTGGCGTGCTGACTGCAGGAATGTCCACCAGAGCTGCTGCCCATGAACTGAAAGTTCATTTCTCTACATGAGCCGTCTCCAAAGGCGCTACAGAGAATTTGGCAGTAAGTCCAACCGGCCTCACAACCCCAGACCAGGTGTAACCACACCAGCCCAGGACCTCCACATCCAGCATCTTCACCTCTAAGGTCGTCTGAGACCAGCCACCTGGACAGCTGCTGCAACAATCGGTTTGCATAACCAAAGAGTTTCTGCACAAACTGTCAGAAACCGTCTCAGGGAAGCTCATCTGCATGCTCGTCGTCCTCATCAGGGTCTCGACCTGACCGACTTGAGTGGGCAAATGCTCACATTTGATGGTGTCTGGCACTTCGGAGAGGTGTTCTCTTCATGGATGAATCCCAGTTTTCACTGTTCAGATGGCAGGCGGCGTGTATGGCGGCGTGTGGGTGAGCGGTTTGCTGATGTCAACGCTGTGAATCGAGTGGCCCATGGTGGCGGCGGGGTTGGTATGGGCAGGCGTATGTTACGGAAAACGAACACAGGTGCTTTTCATTGATGGCATTTTGAATGCACAGGGATACCGTGACGAGATCCTCAGGCCCGTTGTGCCATTCATCCACGACCATCACCTCATATTGCAGCTTGATAATGCACGGCCCCATGTTGCAAGGATCTGTACACAAGCTGAGAACATCCCAGTTCTTACATGGCCAGCATACTCACTGGACATGTCACCCATTGAGACAGGGCAGCTGGTAAAGCCCAACAGGCCCCCATCTGGTGACATTAAATCTCAGGGCCACCATGAGTTGAATTAGTAGTACCTCTGTAGGTCTTTTATTGCCAGTTGGTCCAATCATTCTGTTCAGCTCCATAAGAATTCCCTTGCTGAATCCTTATCATCAGCAGCATCATAAACTCAGCTGGGTCGAGTCTGCTCCTTAACTTTCTTTGAGGAACTTCATTTAATACTGAATATGATTTTAAATAAGAGTTAAAAGTTTTGGTGCAAAAGAATTTAATACAATCTAGGTATAGACTGAAGTTTGCAATTTAATGCTCTTCAATTGACGCTAGTTTTAAAGTTTGGTTCATTGCAGTTTAAAGTTAAACTATGGTTTAATCAGATTCAAAAACGACTCCTTTTTGGTGCAGGGCAGCATATATGGAGCACAAACTATTCCGATACTTAAATTATGCACACTTACCGTCAAAGGACACGTTTCCCAGATGTAATATGGCAGCGAGCAGCTTGAGGATTTTCTGACACTGGTCGTCTGAGAAAGTCAGGACTTTCAGAGCAGATTGAATGCGGTCGTAGTCTTTATCATCGTCCCTTCCAGTACACACAATGCAGTCCCCCTAAAGAATGCGACAGACAAAATTTAGAGTATTTGTAGTAGGTGGACAGTACATAGCATGCTTCGGTACAGGCGGTAAAATAACTTGTAGTATCGTAATAGTAATAGTAATACTGATTGTAGCACCTTAGTAAGGAAATTATATTCCTCGGCAGTCCCGAGGCTCAGAGTTTCCTTCTCCTCTGCTGTGATTCCTGCCAGCAAGCAGTAAAATATGTGGTAGTTTCGCTCATCCAGAGCCTGGAGAAGGAAATGTTAAGTATTATTGATACAAGAAGATAAACTACACGTGTTTCCAGACGAACGCACTCCCATTGTTTGACATGGCTTCTGTGTTTTTGCTCCTGACAGAGACGGCAGCGAGAAGACCGATTAAAACAGCAACAATGGGCTTATTTAAACAAACCTGCAGCACATAGTGTTCTGCTTTATATGTTTACAGTAGAGAGCTGCACAGATAAGACCCAGGTTTGTTTAAACAGCCTCACCTGATGGCAGACACGCGACTTCTCCAGAAGGTACTGCTCCACGCGAGCACCTTCAATCACTCCATCCTTGTTGAAGAAGATCTCCAGGTATTTCCCGAAGCGACTGGAGTTGTCATTGCGGGTTGTTTTAGCGTTTCCAAAAGCTGCAAGGGAAGCCAAAGGCAGTTATCGTCTGTCCGGCGAGAATGACAGTTAAGTATATCTAGAGTGAAGCGTAATGGATGCAGGGCTTTGTGCTGGGCTGATGCAGTACCTTCAAGAATTGGGTTGGAGTCCAGGATCTGCTTTTCGATCTCCTGCTCAGAGTGTTCACCGCTGACTGCTGCCAAGTACTGCAGGATTAGTTTAGTGCTCTCTGTCTTCCCTGCTCCAGACTCCCCACTGAAAGAGACAAATGAATGAGCATTCGTTTGGACAGGCGTTCCATTCAAGGCTCTGAACAAGCACGTCAACAAGCTAATCCCACCTGATGATGCAGCACTGGTTTCTGAGATTGCGAGTCATGTTGAAGTGACAGGATTCAGCGATGGCGAAGATGTGCGGAGGGAGCTCCCCAAGCTGCCGGCCTTGGTATAACCTCACCTGAAGGGTGATGGGACACATGCATGAGGCGCATCACTGTGGTCTGATTTCTGCATATAATCTGCGGTAGAACAATCTACAGCCAGCAGATGTTTGTGATGAATGTTGCCTTACCTGGTCATGTGAATATATTGGATAATCCTTGTATGGATTGACTGCCACCAGCACTGAGCCCGTGTAGGTCTACAGGATCAGACAAAGTGTTGCATTAAACAGTAAAGACTTGGGTGGTTAAAAACAAGCAACTCTGAGAGGTGGCGGAAGAAGTGCTCAGATTCTGTGCTTAAGTACACTTGGAGAATTCATTTGCAAAAACAGATAACTCCATTTTTGTAGATTTTCAGAAAATTTATTTTTTTGTTGTTCGCTTGAGATGAAATCAAACTGAAGCTGAGTGGATTTGACTTAGTAGAAATGACAACAATAGAGATAACTTAAGCTTGAATGATATTGTCTCAGGTGGACGATGGAAAAGTGGGTTTTCTGAAGGTTGGTGAAGATGGACTTATCTGTTTTTGCAAATGAACTCTTCACTTGAGCAAAACAGCACCATGAAAAGATCCAAAGGGAAAGTTCTGCAGTCAAAACCTTACATCAGTATTATCAGAAACAAATTAATTAAATTAATTTTATATGAAGCTCTTCGATGAATTACTGCTGCATATATGTGAATTATGTATTTTACTGCCACAGATGCTAAACGTTGAGCTAATTTTTGGCCACTTTAGGTTGTTTCATCGACTGTAATGCATCAAGTTTTCACTTGCTCATAAAAACAGTTCTTTGAGCTTGGGTAATATTGTGATAGATAGGAAAGGGGAGAGACCTGCAGCAAAGTGTCGTGAACTCATGACCACTGCGTTGGGGAACTATAGGCCCTGTTCACGGGATGCCGTCTTATCCGGTCAACTACTGAGTCGTTCCCCAATTAGGTTTTTTTTTTTTAAATGGAGAACGTTCTCAAGCCATAAAGTTACTCTTAATCTTTCAGAAAAAAATCTAATTTACCCAAATTGGACAGACATAGTTTTCACATGACAGGAAAGATATGAACATTTTCAATCTAAACTGATGGTTAAACGTAATCAAATAAAAAGTGCAATTTCGGTGGGGAAGAGGTAGAAAGCTGCACAAAATCTAAAAAAAAAATAAACTACCTCAAATTTGCACCTAACTGTACTCAAGGACAGCACTTAAGTAAATGGTTATATCCCACAACCGACCCTGAGAACTGCTCTTGCCATGTGGTTAATTTAACTTTCATTTCGCCGGGTTTTCAAATATCAGCACCTTAGATTTTTGCTGCCGCTCCCGTACAAATGGAACTCTGTCTGTGACGCTCACATTTACAACCTTAACATCAGCAACAAAACTTTCCTGGTTGGGCATTAACGTTCAGTTTTGACCTGAACACAAGAGCTTTTAAATTCATCTCATAATCTCACTCAGCTGATAGAGTTTTTAACCAATTGTCTTGTGATTTGTAGTAATAAACTATTTTCTGTTGAGGGGTAAAAATGAGAGCAAAATTAATAGAGTCAATATATAGATAAATTAATACAGTTTATATGGTGACAAAGGCAGCGACTGCGTTTCATAGTTTGTCCAACAGCGAGTGATAACAGGAAATCCGTGGGGTTAGAGTGAAAAATAATAAAAATGTTAAACAGTGAGGTCGGTGGGAAGCTGTGAGGAAGAGCTCTACGATACCTGAGTTACTTAAATGTCGCTTTTTACAAGATTTTACGCCAAATTTAACTCAATTAGCACCACTGTACTGTGAGAGAGGCAGAAATCGAAGCAGCAGAAGTTTTAAATACTCAGCAAATAAAAGTAAAACAGCTCGGATGGCTCGACCAGCGCCTCGACGGCCAAGTGAAGAGGATTTTTGGTGGTAAAAAAAAAACTAACCTTGTTTGCTTTGTTTATTTATTTATTTCTCCTGACATATGTAGTTTGTTTTTGTTTTGTTTCCCTCCCTCATTTTTGGGTGCACACGTAAATCTTTTGCTCCGGTAATCGTTGACATTCAGCTTTTCTCAGTTTGTTCATCTCTTACAGGTGCTCTCGACGATTATCAACTCAGTTTTTCTGCAAAAGCTGTAAGATGTTTTGTGCAGTCGGTAGATTGCGGTATCTTTGTTTTCTTCTCTTTTCCCTTCACTCTCCTTCTCACTTCGGCAAACTATACACTTTTTCTTTTTCCCTCTATCAGGTCCAGCAGTATTAAATTCAGTAATAAGCGAGCATTCAAAATAAACGAATGAAATGAAATAGAATGAATAAGCAAATTTGTTCAGCACAACACAGCAGCCAGATCATCGTTCTGCTTGCTATGATGCTGGACACGTTACAAAAAAAACAAAAAACAACCTTTAAAGTTCATTTTAAAACGTGCTAACTTAACTCGGAATATACATACGTACTGTTCATCATTAACTTCGGTTTTCAAGATACCGTCACGCGTGTCAAGAAAGAGGTGATAGAGCAATACCGGAGACATTAAATCCTTATACCGGCCAGTATTATATGTACACAGCATTTTGTTTAGTGTGTGTTTGTAGCTCACATAGATGAGGCCTTTCTTGTGTCGGAGCAGCAGGTTCCTGAGGAGTCCGGCCTCGGTCATGTCCCCGAGTTTGATCATGTCGTCGACCCCCTCCACCGACGTCGGGTGCATGATCCGGAGAGAGGCCTCCTCCTCCAGGAACAGTCTCTGCTCCTGGGTTAAAAAAAAGGTAACAATCAGTGGTGTCATCCAAAAAAATGTTGGTGAACAACACACAGCGCCATCTTTGATTAGTGTTTATACCTTTCCCTCATCGTCCACCAGGAAGCGTTGACCTGATGGCGTTTCCTTGACCCGGGCTCCGATGGGGACCCCGATGTCGGAGTCCACCCAAACCCACTCCCCCTGAAGGTACACAACATATTGATGAATCCATTGGTTTTTTTTTTATTGTTTCTAAGAATCCACAAATGTATGATGGGACTATGTTTACGGTACTGACTGCCAGGAACAATAAAACTACTTACAGGAACTGAACGATAAACAACAGAGCTTACTGGTAGACGACATCCTTAACAGTAAAATCCACACTAACAACTCCACAGGACCCAATGAGTGACTTTTTCAGCCTTACCTTTCTTAGCATCACCAGTTTGCGTCTGTCCTACTCCCTAAACAAAAAAAAATCCATATGATGAGTTGCTCTTTCTAAAAAAAAACAAACTTGGATTTGAAGGTTTTCTCCTACTGTCACACAAGAGTATTAATTACAACATACACATGAGAAAAAGTTCTACCTAATAATCCTTTTATCAGCAATCTTCATTTATTCCTCCGTCTTGTCTTGTCTTCTTCTAGAATCACTATGACGAAGGAGAAAGCACGGCTCTGGCTATGACTGACGGAGGTTTTATGGCGCTCGGACTTTGGACTTGCAGTGATAGAAAGGCAGAGAAAGAGGAACCGATGACTTACTCGGAGATGAGTATCAGTCTTGCCACTGGGAGGGAGTCTTTTTCTGGCCACGTTGATCCCTTGTTGGCTTTTGGAACCAGAACACTGTTGGTAAAGAACTGAAAATGTGCAACACAACCACCCGAAGCAGCCCGGTGTGAACAATGTATAAGATCCTAGAATGACTTTGACAACAGGTCTGTGTATTGATTGATAAATATCAGTTTACATAAACACCCTCCTGCAGAATGTAAAGGTCAGTGCGTGTTGTAATGAACTTATGTGCAGACCTTGGACCCCGCTTGTGTAAGACAGAGGAGACACAGCTGAGCATCTCACTGACTGTCACTGCAATAAAGACGAAAACATGAAATCAAACTGATCATCTTTTGGCATAAAGGAGGATCAGAAGTGTCCCAGAGGATGCATAATTATCTACATGGAGGCTGTCATTTACACCTGTATAAGATACTGTTCCGCAGGTTGGGGATGGTTGGGTAATCCAGTAGCATAAGCAATGGGACTGCTTTTTAGAGTTCCTGGTTGTTGGGTAGGGCTGCAGTGGTTAGCACCATTGCCTCACAGCTAGAAGGTCGCCGGTTCACGTCCCGGTGAGGACACCCGGGATCTTTCTGGGTGGAGTTTCCATGTTCTCCCCGTGCAGCGTGGGTTCTCTACGGGTTCTCTGGCTTCCTCCCACAAGGTCCAAAAACATGTTGAGGTTAATTGGTGATTCTAAATTGTCCGTAGGTGTGAATGTGAGTGTGCTTGGTCGCCCTGAGTCAGCTGGGATAGACTCCAGCCCCCCATGACCCTAGTGACGATTAAGTGGTGTATAGATAATGGATGGATGGATGGATGGATGGATGAATGGATGGATGGTTGGTTGTTGGGTAAGTTGTACCTCCACCAATCAGGGAAATCTGCTAAACTGTAAAATTAAGAAGTCAGTCAGTTGTGTGGGTCTGACTGGGAGTCACTGCTCGTCACTGAGTGGCGTCAGTGTTTTCAGCTCTGATAAAGAAAACCTCGTACACAACACTTCTGCTGCTACCCAGCCCAACTCCTGACTACGCTTAAATGTGGTGTGATTCAAATGCTCTGTTTACGACATGGGATACAAAGATTAGCTTCCTGGTCTTAATTTATCAGCGTGATCTTTGACTACCTTTAGTGACGTGATGGAACCTGAGCCATGGTGACGACAGCAGGCAGTTTCCATTTTAAAGGAACCACTCTGAAAAGGAGGATTTATATGGAACAAGACACTCCTTCACTTCGAGGGTTTTCCTGCTATTAGGGTGGATTATGACCAGTGACTAACGGTGGCTTTGTTTACATTAACTTTATTATGGTTTTGTGGCTACTGTGGCAAAAGTTACAAAGGCGTATCCAACCTATTTATCCAGCTTTAAAGGCCCCATATTGTGAAAATAAATCACGTCCTTGTGGTTCTTCGGCTCAAGATACCGCAAAGATTGCATAACATCTACTTCTGGGATTCTTCTAAATGGGCCGTTTTGCTCTAAAAACCAGTGACGACTGCTGTTCCCGTCTCCATTAGGAAAGCCACACTGTCTGCTTGACGGCTTTAACTGGACAGCCATTGGTCAGTTAGGCGTTACATAGCACCTGGGTCACATTCCTGCTAACTTGTAAAGCTGGGAGGCTAACTAGCTTTTAGGGGAGGCAGACATACTTTTTTTTTTAAAATATCTCAGCAGCTTTTACATTATAAGTTTATAACCACAAAAGCCTGTAAATATTGGCGTATGGGACCTTTAAGACAGCTGTGGTATGGAACTGAAAGATCAGCAGAAACAATGACCAAATACGAGTTCTTTAAAACTATTTAAACCTGATTTAAATGACTTTTTAAAAATTATTTTTAGCCAAAACAAAAACCCGTTGTCCCCGACTTTGAGTTAAGGAAGCTGAAGTTATTTACACACCCATCAGATATGGAGCAACATTATCACTGCGTCATTTTATGTCCGTATAATAAACCTGATCCCAATATTCACACTCTTTTCCCACCTCTAAGGGAGGTTTCTAGCAGCTAAATGCTCCACTATCTTCCCCAGCTTGTTGCTAGCTTTTCCTAAGTGCCCTGTAACGCTGACCAAGGAGTGAAATTAGACAAAAATAGAAGCTTTTTTAGGTCACAGTTCACAGAGAGGGTGTGGAATATCGCCACCTGTAGTTTATGAGGGCAGGGTCATCGACTGCTGTACGGAAACACAACTCGGTGCCATTATCTGTGCTGCTGCTGCTGCAACGGGTTCATCACTGATTATTAAAAAGGGCACACCTTTGCAAGAGAAGTAAAAACACGCTGATTATCTGTGTTTATTTGCTATAGAAACTAAATAGAAGTGAATTAGGTGTCATCAGTGCATCACTGACTAATACGTGTTAGACTTTGTGTTCCTCTGCTTTCTCCAGGAAGTCACGTATTGATGTTTTCACGACACACACACACACACAACACAGTCTGGATTCCATGTATGTATTTTCTTAAAGACAACCTTCCATTGCTTTGTTTAGAGTACAATAAGAGTATACAGTAAATGCACAGAGTTACTGACCAGAATCCAAGTTTCAAGTGACAATAAAAGGTCCAAAGAAATTGTATTTGATTTGTTGTTGAGTTTGCAGATTTTCAAATGTGACAGATTTCTTTTTTTTTTCACATAAATCACAGAAACACTGACTAGTGCTAGTAGAATACCAGCACCGGCTTAAAATACATTTAAAGATCATGTCAAATACTGGCAGTCCATGTAATACAAAATAAATTTTTAAAAAAATTAGCTGGTGTTTCAAAAAAAAAAAAAAAGAAGGAGAAGAAGAAAAAGATCTAACACAACCCAAACTGGATTTCCCATCCCCCCAAAAAACTGACAGAAGATAGCAGCTAATTTGTATCACAGGACATGGCACTGTTCAGTTACAGAAGTACAGAGAGGCACACTGACTCAAGTAAAGTTGGGCTCCGAATCCAGTTTGCTCGGAAATTTAGTCTCGATTTAACGACGATCGGCGATCACTTCGTTAAACTGAGACTGAAATTCACATTTGATAATAATGAGGTCCATTAAGCTTTTTTGTGCCGCACAAATCAAATCTGACCATTAAAAGAAAAACAACAACAACAGCACACAAACAGCAGTTGGAAGCACTAGGAAGCACGTGAGCCAACATGAAGTTCATTTACATCTCAAGGCCACCAATCAGTTTCAGCAGCAGTTCACATTCAACTCACTTCGTATTAAAAACAATAACGAGTTGATAAATTATAAAGCTTTGGCCTGACTTGCACACGAAATACAGAACACACGTTTGTCCGTTTAAGGAATTTAAATCAAGGAAAGTCCTGTAAGCTGTGACACGACGGACCTCAAGTGGTCCATCAGTCCCTTCATAATCGAGACGTCTCTTGTATAAAACAATGTAAACACACACAACAACAACATAAAAAGTCACGGATGACGCGTAGTAGCCGTTTGACTGTTAATGTTCTGAGACTGACGTGGTTGAATGTTTTCATCTTGCTGCTACATCTGTACCATGTGACTCGTGTAGCTTCACTGAGGCCACGGCGACTTCAAGTAGAGTTACAATAAGAAGAGTTAATCAGAGATGAGGCCAAATGAATAAAAATTCAGTAGTGTGGTAAACTATTGCTTTACAAAACACCACCACGGGTCTCTTCTCAACCTCACGCCAGGCAGCTAGTCAATACGATTAAGCTTAAAATAGTTAAAAATCAGTTTTCACACATTAGACTGTGTACGACAACTTATATCACATCGGAACTGACCTCAATAGGTCAATAAATCAACAGCAAAGTAAAGCTCATCGCTTCATCGATTCGTTCACCATCAGAGCAGAGCCAGAATTCAATTTGAAATCCACGACGAGTCGCTGAGAAGCTGCAGCGTTGAGCCTTGAACGTGTCGTCGGTTTCACACATTTCAAACCACTTACTGTACATTTTACGGCCTGCCACTTTCCAGTTATACCTGGGTAATGTTGAAACTTTTTTTTTTAAATTTGACGTCAATATGAAAGTGAACTTGCAGACGTTTCACCGGTGATGCAAGTCTATCACTTCTATACATTTCAGAAACTAATGCAACCAAAGAAGAGGTATAATATACGTTGGAAAATGGACAGCGGTGATGTGTACGCATGTGGGCAGTAAGTGGGTTAAAAACATGAAAAACTAAACCTTCAAGGCTTCTAAAAACTCAGAACTGGAGTTTCAGCTGAATTCTGACTCTGGTCTGATGAGTGATTTCTATGCCGACCACAGTACCTGTGGCTCTATACTATATGTCAGTTAAACAAGTCACTTCTATTAATCAACTAAAGAAAATGTGCAATTCCAAACTTCCATTCAAGTATCTGTGTGTTTATGATCGGCTGTCCTCGGGCCTCTTGAGCGCGGCGCTGTACTTCATCGGCGCGCCGTCGGCTTTGAGCTGCACCTCCACTAATGTGAAGATTGAAATGATCTGTAAACACAAACAAGAAATCAGGATTATTACATTTTACACATTCTGTCAGCTCTCTAAGTCAAAGACACAACCCATCCTCACCACACTGAACCCGACGAGTGCAAATATAATCAAACAAAATTTAAATATATTTAAAAAAAATAAGACTCCAAAATGTCAACAGTGAAGCTAAGTGAGATCAGTGAGAAAGAAATATCAAAAAGAAAAGAAAAGACCAGACACTTAACTTGGAAAGTAAAAAGTTTTAATTTTGATTTTTCAGCTCTTTGCTTCAATGAGTTGAGTTAAAGTTGATATTTAGGATGTTTGTTTTTTTATTACACTGGCACAAATATAATTCTATTTAACCCCAGTTAGCTGTTTACTCTACTGCTGTCCTCCACATCAGTGGGCCCCAACCACCGGGCCGTGGACCAGAACCAGGTCGCACAGAAAAAAAAGCAACATTTTATTGGTTTTTTTGTCCCAGTGGCGTCTGCAGGGTGTTTTATTTTGAAAAATGACTACCTCGTCTTCCCGTCGCATCCGTCTGCGCTTGTTTCTCGTACTTGACTCAGTTTTTATCAGTGAAACAAAGCCGTCAGTCAAAGCGCTGCCGAAATTACTAAAAAAACAAACATCTCAGCTTCTTTGGAACGTGGGAGAGACTCGATACAGAGACGGAAGAAAAAGCAAACACGTATTTAGCAAGTTAGTTTATTAATTTATTAAAATTTTTAATAGAAAAAACGACTATTTTTTGTTACGTCCGTAGAAAATGTTCTTGCTTAAAACCGGTCCGTGGTGCAAAAAAGGTTGGGAATCACTGCTCTACATTATTTTGAGAACAATCATAAATCTAGAATACGCTGGAAAAAGCCTGAAAGAACATAGTTTGCTATACCTGTGTCTCACAACCATCACATTTTACTGATGGTCTGAACACCCTTCAAAAGCACAAACCACCAAGTGAAAAGCTATAAAAGCTGGAACAAACTGCTCCATTGTCTTTTTCCCATTAGCAGGTAAAACCACAATAAGACTCTTCTGTGTTTGTGCTCCTCACCTGCTCTATGGGAGGATTCTCCAGGTCCTCTGGTGTCCAGAGCAGCGTCAGCTCTGATTTCTTCCCCACCCTACGATGGTGGAACGTGTCCAGGCCCGCAATAGACTGAAGGTGGAAGCAAACGGTTTCAAACTGTTTCTAATAAAAAACGATTTAGCTGTGTGATGCTGAGTTGTTGGACGATTTTGTTTTGTCACATCCTCGCTCTTCAAACTGGATGAGCGTTTACTTTTTGGTGAGTAATCAATGGCACAGCTGAGATGAAAGTCATCTCCACAGTCAAAAGAATGTCTAATTTTGTCAGCTGTGTAATAAAACTGGTTGTTTAACTGCTGAGCTATGATTGTGCAAAAATATGAATATATTCTGGCTGGAGCTTCTATAAACGGAGTTATTGGAGCTGACCTTGCAGTAGATGCGTTTCTGTACGCCGTATCGGAGAACCAGCACATCAAAGGACTGATCCAGCACCCCCATCACCATGGCCTCGGAGTCCAGTGGGCCGCACTCCTGTATAGAGCAGCAAGAAAGCACTTATCAGATACTTAGACGACACTGTTCTGACCTCAAGTCTCTGGTTCATACCTCATTTTACATTAGACAAGTCAAACATCAGAGAAAATCTAAAATATTGCCTTTCCTTTTTGAGGAAAAACATCTACATGGGAGTTACCGTCATTTCTGGACTATTGAGCGCACCTGAATGTAAGCCGCACCCACTAACCTTAAAAAGATATATACATATACAGGACGCACTTATCTATAAGTCGCAGGTGTCCACGTTGTAACATGAGATATTTACACAGAAAGATCTTTTTTAAACTTTTAATTAAATACGTACATACACAAATACGTAAATGCTTTTTTCTGAACAGCACCTGTAGCACGGCTGATTAAAAAAATAAAAATCATCTTCCTCCTGCGCACTAAAGTCGTCTTCTTCAGTGTCTGAGTTGAACAGCCTCAGAATCACTTCGTCACACACTTCCTCAGTCTTTCTTTTGTTGTTGCTCTCAATGTCACTTTGGTCTCGAGGCAAATTCGTAAAAAAACATAAATAAGCTGCATCAGTGTTTGAGCTGCAGTGTTCAAAGCATGTGGAAAAAGTAGCGGCTTGTAGTCCAGAAGTTACGGTACAAACTGCTTGTAAAAACACATTTTATCAACAGTTTATGTTAAGATTGGTCGAGTATTTACTGTGTGATGAAGAACAGTGTTGTATTTAAATCATGACCGCTGTTAGCATGTCCTGATGTGGTCACCCACCTTTACAAACACTCCAAAGAAGAGCTCAGAGCTGAGCTCCTGAACCCTCTTGGATATGGTCTTCTTGTCATTGCAGTGTGATGACTGTTTTTGGACTTCCTCTGTCGACAGTCCTAACGGAGGTCCACACTCTGTACAAAAACATTCAGTGGACACACGAGATGAGCCAGAAGAACACATGAAAAGGACACACACACACACACAGTAGGGGCAGGACATGCAGAAACAACGGCAGCAGGACAAACAATGCTCCGACTCAGAGAGACGTCTGAGGCCGTTTTGTTCTTTTGTGCAGCACAACAGCAGCAGTCTGTCAAACAACAGAAATTCTGTCATTTGCTCAAATGCCTGTTTTTGTGCGCCTCTGAGAGCTCTTTGTAGAAAAGGTACGTACTGAGTGAGGAGGCCAGCAGCCGGTGCACGATGATGTCAGCGTAGCGTCTGATGGGTGATGTGAAGTGTGTGTAGAGAGGAACGTTGAGGGCGTAGTGCTTAAAGAGCTTTTCCTCCTTCAGCCCGCCGGTGCAGAAGTACAACGCCATCTGGGAGGAACAAATGATCCAGATTAGATACAGAAACTTATACAAACATAACTGGACCGGCTTTATGGTAAAACAGGATCTCAGGGTCCACCAATTATCAGGCTCACTGATGATCGGATCCAACATTCTTCTTTTATTTATTTATTAATTTTTTTTTTTACCATGATCCAATATTCTGATTAAACAGAATAATCTGAAAAATGTGCAACTTTGGCTACTTTGGATGCAGGCATCACTTTCTCTCTCTCTAGCCTTCACTCTGTGGTTTCCATTAATGTCCATCCCACAGCAGTATCTGATTAACTACAGATCACAGGTAATGGCCCGTCGATACTGAGGCCACTGTGCCAGTCACTGTTGCTAATTGGAGCAGCTCTGGAGAGTGAGAGGTGCTGCGTTTCAAAGGTAAAGCGGCAGATATTGCCAAAGTCTCAATAAATACCACAAACTTATGATCTCCTTCTATGCTGACAAACACACTCAACTTCCCAGTAACACTGAAATGTTATAGTTTTATCTCTGAATAACGTAGATGTTAGTGCAAATGTAGCTACCCTCTGCCTACGAGGTTCCTGAACAGGCTCGGTGTCAGATCAGTGGATGACCTGTCTGGAATGCCTTAAAGTTTTGTGCTTGATTCTGTGTTAATCTATATATTAACTCTAACATTTTCATTTTTACTGTAGCCTTAAATCAGTTCTAAAGACTGGCTATCTGTCTGCTCGTTAACCAATCATCACTGTCTTGGAGAAAACAATACTAGTGGACCTTATCATACATACACAGCACACACTTTTAAATATACTATTTAAATCACAAAATGCATATTACTTCTCTTACTTATGACTTCCTACTTGATGTGTTTTTCTTCAGTGGCAACAACTATTACACGACAGTAGGCATTTACTTTAAGCGTGCAAAACAAACTTCATAATTACACAAAGGTTGAAACAGAAAACCAGTAAAAGGAAAATGCTGAGTTCTAACCTGCATGGGTCTGGAGCACATGTGTGTGAGGACTTCTTTTCTGGCGCTGGTGTACTCATCATCACCAAGAGTGGTATTGAGGCTCTTCTGCATGTTGAAGAAAATAGATTTGGATTATTAACACTTATCCAGCTTCAGTTCCCATTCGTATGCTTGGGAGACTGAAAATAACCAGATATAACAAAATAAAAGTCCTCTACAGAACTAAAAGCTTATCATTGCCACTAGTTTCAGACAGATTAGGTTCTGAGCTACGTCTACATTAAGGCGTACTTACGTGTAACGCTCCTGCAGAGGACAAGTCGATGTCGATTCCCAGCTGGTCGCACAGCTCCTGCAGCTCGTCCACCATCTTGGTCTTGGGTGGGGGGTGGCGCCTGAGCAGGGCCAACTCTGGGAATTTGCGGTAAATGTGGTGGGCTGTGGCGATATTAGCCAGTAACATGAACTCCTCCACTAACCTGGGGAACAGTTGCACGTTAGATAAACAGTCAGAAGAGGAAACAAGAAGAACCACAGAAACATGGAACCAATCAGGACCTGTCTACTACATGAAATCTGGGCTCCAGACCCATGAAGAACAGCTGGACTTTAATCCAACTGGGGGACACAGACCAGATCAGCACACATGATTGCTACTAACAAGTTAACATCAATTAGAAAAGTTTCAAAATAAAACCTTGTCTTTTACTGACGTCTGGCTGTGATGCAAAAATTTATTGTCCTTGCAAAGAAAGTTCATAAACTACATTGAGCTTTTGTGTTCTTCCTTCCTGATTGGACCAGTGCAGCTAATCTACTCGTCATTTAGTAGAAAAATTCACTCGCTGTCATCGTGACAGAAGACAAACAAGACCTGCTTTGAATGCGGTTTCGTTGCATCTCGCATAATAAAAACAACTTCAAACATTATAACCCTTTCGTGTTATAACAAAGACTGCTTGTTTAACTCATGCACACGCAGCACTTCCATCGTTCTGATTACAGTCAGACCTTCTAAGAGTCACACAGTCATGACACATAATGTTAAACAGAACACTGCTGATATTAGCCTGGATTCACCTGACCATAAAATAAAATAAAAAGTGGGACACAGATTCAACTGAGGATCATTTGTTACTCACTTGTTGCTGTCTCTGTACTGGTAAACGTAGCAGCCTTGAGGCATCATTGTCTCTTTGTCGAGGGTGAAAGAAAGCTTTAACTGAAACACACACACACATACACAGTCAATACAATACAATACAGTCCAAAACCAACACAAAACTAATGTTAGCACAAATGATCTTGTTAAATCTCGTCCCGCTAACTGTTGAAGTTTTCTTTGGCAGCTGCTCACTTTAAATTTAGCTTGTGTGTGAAAGGTCATGATCAGGGTATAAATGGTCACGTTTAAATTTAAGATGAAATATAATTAACAGCATTTTCTGTACTTAACGTATAGCTACTAGCAGGCAAAAACTAAACTTTGCAGTTCTCCAGACTTGTATATAGACAGATACATTCACCAAATCTTTGCTAAGACCTTTAATAAGCTGGTTAAAGGGACATATTCTCGCTCATGTCCTGTTGTGCTCCACACCAGCACTAACCTGGTCCAGTCTGAGGGCTCCTCCTGAGAAGCGCTGAGCTCGGAGGTTCTTGGCGATAGAGTGCAGGTTGAGCACAGCCTGGTGGATCTCGTCGATGGAGTGCACTGGGTCCACAGGTGGCAGCTCCTCAGCAGGGAACATCTTCTCCGGGGCCTCGATCATGCTCTGAGCGTGGTCGTAACTCAGCTTCACGCAGGAGCGAATGACTGAGCGGCCGAACCACTCGTCCAGGATCTGGAGGGTCGAACCAGAAAAACTGAAAATGTCAAAACTGTGGCAACAAAAGTGGCTTGAAGCAATTTCACCGAAATCAATCACCTGTTTTCCTTCTTCTATGAACTTTTACTGTTTACCGAGTGCAGCGAACGTACCTTTCCCTCAGGTGTGATCTTCCAAATGACAGAGAAAGTGAGTCTGTCGGTTAGAGGGTTCAGACTGCACAGCTCCTCACACAGCAGCCTCGGCAGCATGGGGATCACCTGGAGCGCGACAGAACACAAACACTGGGAATAAGTACTGAAGAGGAAAAAATGGGTTATATTTACATCAACAGCTCGGTGAATGATGTACTGACAAATGATGATTGGTAATATGCAAATAAAAAGCAAACGCTGTAATAAGCAACAGAATACTCAACAAAACCTGGTCGGATCGTGTGATTGGACCACTCACCTTCTGAACCATGTACACACTTGTAGCTCTTTGGCTGGCGACGGCATCCAGAGTGTTGTCCTGCTCCACAAAATAACTCACGTCAGCGATGTGAACTCCCACCTCAAAGTTTCCTGTGTAAAGAATACAGTATTAGGACAAGACATTGTTGTGGCTAAACCTCTCACGAAGACACACAGTGCCTATGGAAGAACACTGATGACAAAACATTTGAGCGAGCACAACGCAAATCGATTAATCTACCACGAGCAATTGTGACGAGAACACAGTAAGCACAACTAGCTCGTGTTAAGCTCATCAGATTTCAGCATTATGTGTCAATGTGACAGCAAGCCTCATTTATAAATTACTTTCTGTTAATTAAAATATTGTTCAGCGGTAAAAAAAAAAAAAAATCAAATGAGAGAAAGACAACAAAACCATAAAACCATACGTCTGTTGAAGACAAACTGCACTACAAGCAAGTCCGTCAACACACCTACAATGGTACTCAGTTAGTAGCCATATTTAAAGTAATTTGACAAACGACATCACTCTGCTGCAGTGGCTAACGAAGTAGATCATCTGCCATCAAACTGAATGTGTAAATAAATCATTTGTTGTTACAGCGTTTGATTTATTAAACAATATACATCAAACGTGACTCTTTGTCTCCATCTGGTGGTGAAAATTCCAAAAACACAGATTTTACTTTGAAAGTTCAAGGATGGGTGTTGACAGGATGAGCCTTCGCTTCAAGATAAAACTCAGCCGGTGAAGGTCGTCTGCTCTCAGTGTGAGTTGACATTCAACAATTCAAACTGCCAAAAGTCAGCGAGGCCACTTTTAATTATTACAAGTGACACAACTCCTCTGTTTGCCTCTCAGATGCTGGCTTGCAGAAGGCGTAACAGCTTGTCAATACGCTGCCATGCAATCCTTCATTATAACAATCGACCATCTCTAATTACAAGTCATCGTCAGTCAGCGTTAGGCGGCAGTTTACCATCTGGGAGTTGTTTACAGGACAGGGCATCGTCCAGATCTCTGGCAGTCGCCGGGTCGATTGTGAAGATACACTCCGTCCTAAACATCACAAACATTGCGTTGTGAAATTATATGCAAAATACTGTGCAGTGCTTAAATACTCCTGGGGATTTGAGCTGTTGTGTTTTTGTAAATCTACACTGTGTGACATGTTCCCACTCAAGGAATGTATTAATAAAAAACAGAAGACGAACTGTATAAACATAGCTGGGCTTTTAAATCCTACCTCAGGTCTCTCCTCTCCCTCAGCTCCTCCGGTGGGATGGTCCAGGGCAGGTTCTTAGGGAGGCAGTCCAATACCTCATCTGAGAACTCAGAAAAATCGACATCGTACTCCGTCAGGATGCCCTCGGTCTCTGGCTCGATTTCTCCAGCTTGGCCCAGTGTCTTAGCGAGATGCCTGCAGGGAAACATTAACAGAGTGAGAACGCCTGTCAAACCAGAGCCGACTTCATCCTTTAAATGTCACACGCACCCCTCTGCAAAGTTGCTGTCGGCCGGCCAGTTGGTGATCCGACAGATGAACAGGGTGTTGGTGTAGTCACCCGAGCGGGACCTGAAGTTTTCGGGGCAGTCAGCGAGGGGAACGTTAATCCGCGGCACCCGGTGGTCCACAGGGGAGAACATGGCGAAGGGCTTGTCTGGCAGGAACTTCAGGAAGCCAGTAGCAGCTCTCGAGTGTTTCTTCTCGACGATGTACACGACCTGGTAAACAAACGATGAGGAGAAGTCAAGGGATGACTTTGAAACCTTAGTCGAACTGTTTCACTTTGCTGTCATTAGATTAGTTTTGCAAAAGATGTAGATTTGTTCGGCTGAGGATGTGTGGACAGTGGAGGTTAGCTGGATATTAAATATAAACAGTCAAGTCATTTAGAAGCTTTTCATCATTGCTTCATGCTGAGCCAGAAACAAAAAACTCTGGGAAATGCTTTGGTACAAAAGGAATCAAGGTAAGAAATACAACACAGTAGATATGAAGGAAGCTCACTTTAGCAGTCTTTTGCAGTATTTCCCCGTTGGACCGTGGTGCTGCTGTGTCTTCCAGAGGTTTCCCTACTTTCATCAAAGGAAAGAAAATATTAAGATATATGAGCTAGACCTGTGTACAACTGGTTTTATTTGTTTTTTCTGCTGTGTAATAGATCAATAAATATAGACTTTCATCAAATTAATTATGATGTATGATAGCTGCTGTATGTGCTTCTTCTTCACAGTACCTGTGTCACTGATTTTCTTGCTGACGATTTCATCCTGGTCGCTGCACTGGTCCTCCACAATAACATCAGGACTCGGGGCCCGCTCTGTCTTCTTCTGAGCTCTTTGCACCACGTGTTCTTTCTGGGTCTCTGACTCGCTGGCGCCCTCGCAGTCGGTATCTGACCTCACCACCTAGCCAGACAAGCATTAATCAATACAGGTCAATCAAACTTCATTAAACAACTCTAAGCGCTGCACATAAAGAGTTACAGATAGTAGGTGTGGGTGTCATAAAAGGAGCTCCAATGACGACAGTGTCACAGAACAGTGATTCTGCATCTGCAATACTCAATATATTTAAGACAAATCACAACATCTGTATACACGGAGGAGGAAAAAATACCCCTAGAAAGAAAAAAAAGTAAGAGTCACGTATGTATTCACTGTATTGTGGTGCTACAGTGTGTGTATTGTCATAATTAATGAATTTTAAAGTGTCAATTCAAGTACATAGATCTGATTCGCTTTTTAACTCACTTTCACTTTCCTTCACTGTATTTTAGTTTAATTTATCCTCATCTAGTTGATAATCACCACTATGAGTAGTCATGAAGTAGTGACTCTGGTAAGTTAAACTGGTCACGGGAATGTATATTTTAATAAAAAATAAATATATTTGGCTACAGCGTACTGATAAAGTACCGCAAGAGGAAGTGATATGATATACTGCTGTATTGATGTTTTCCTTACCTTCCACTGCTCCTGAGGGAGGATTTGCACCACCACAACGTCTCCATTCAGCGCTCTGTTGCGAGCAACAATCCCATCCAGGAATATATCACGTGTGTCATCCTGAAAACATAAAGGGAATGTTCTGTGTCCTGGCTGTCTTTGATTTGTGATCTAAACTTATTCTTAACATTAACAAAATACCCATACAGTGTTTTGTTTTTTTGCAGAATCTTGCAGGCTGGTTATTCAATCACAGTCAAATATATTCTGGATTGGCCAGCAGGACAAAAACGATAGAGGGCAAGCCATAGTAACTCACAGGAGACGGGATGAAAGCTTCATGGTACTTCTTGGGGTTGATTCTTAATTGTCCCTGTAGAGAAAATAAGTAGGAGTCAGACACTCTTTAATAATACAACATCAACCACTGCTTCACTGATGATAAATGCTGCTGTGTCAGGTGTTTTGTGTAACTGCTGATAAGAGCTACTGAAAAAAAATCTGTCAAAAAAGGTACATAATTTTATCAGCTTGTATAACTTCCTTCATTCTCAATAACGATTTTGCTTCAGTCTCTGATTCTTACGTGAATAAGTTCTCCTCTTTTGAGGCCATGGCAAACATCCTCATAGGCCATGTAGGGTTCAAACACTGGCTTCTTTTGCCCTCTGCCTCCTTTGTTCTTGTTCTTGTCAGCTGGAGAATTGGCACCTGAAGCTGAAAATGAAACAACTTGGTGATTCAATCCATCTAAAAACTGCTTCATAGTATTGTTGAGAATACACTCCCTAAAAACTACAGCTTACCTTGGGGCTGTCTTTTCTCTTTACCATGAGGGGATTTGGGCCTTAACATCTGAGCATCAGCTCCAGACGTCATGATCCCTTCTCTGTTTTTCTCCTCTTCTTGGTGCAACATTTTCTTCTTTGACTTCTTCATCTTCTCTTGTTCCTGCCCACTTGTACCGGCTTTCTTTGGGGATTGTCCAACAAACGAGTCCGTCTCCTTGGAGGCAGCATCTCTGTTAGAGTCCTTGCTTTTCCTTTGCTGCTTTTGCTGTTTCTTCATCTCATTTGGATTTAAAGAACCAAACTCCTCTCCAGATTCGATGTCTCCGTCTTGGCTGGTGGCGGTGTCCCTCCTCTGTCCCCGTCGCTGCCTGTCACACACACCCTGCTTCCTCTCACAGTCCTGCTGAGCGTTGCGAACGCTCAGTTTCTCCATGTACAAAGACAGCGAGCTCTCCTCGCCTCTAGATTTCATGGAGGATGGGGAGAAGTCACTTGAATCAGAGAAATCATTGAACACTTGGTCTCTTTTTCGCTGCGGTATGTTCAGCCTGTCACTCTGGGCTCTGAGCAGTGGGCTCGGCCCGTTTCCTTCCCTTTGAAGAGACGAGTCCTTTGCATATTGTTCCAGATACGAGCTGAACTTGCTGCTGCGGTGCTGGCTGAGCAGCCTGGCATAGGCGTCTTTCTGAGGAGGAGTGCTGGACTGATTCTGGCTGCGCTTTGGCTCTCGATTCAGGTTAGCCCTCTTGGATTGGCGAGGAGAATCCATAAGGCGATCTTTTGGGATGCTGTCTCTGAAAAAGGCAAAAAGTGGAAACTGTCAGTCAAGCATGAGTCAATACATAGAACTTTCAGGCAGCTGGAACTAAGTGATGTTCACAAGTTCAAATATGGAAAAAGAGGAGGTCGTTATTCAATCAAGTAATTCAGAGGAAATGAAACTGAACGCAGCTCGCTCGTTGGTTTGTTTCTGTGATGACAACATATTTTTAAGTTACATCACATAGTTCATTGTTAATCATATTTAGCTGTAAATCACGTTACAAACACAGACATGACTGGAAGTTCAATAAAACAACGGTAGCTGAAGTTACACTCTATGTCAGGCTCACCAGACGAGAAATTAAAAAATATCATTCCGTTGTTTTTCCCCTTTAAACATCTCAACGACCCTTTCGGCTCAGCTAACAGTTGTTAGCATCGGCTGGCTAGCATCGGCTAGCTAGCTGCTCTATCGGCAGGTGTCGGTTCAACGAACTAGCTTAAAGTCAGACAAACGGCGAAGTTGACACGACAAACGACTCGAAAATGAACGTAAATACACTTAAGTGACAACGTCCCACATTACCTCCTTCACTCCGGTGTAAGTTGTGTAACGCTGAGGCTTGTGTCAGACCTTTCACTGCCAAACGAGCTGAGACGTTCACTTCCTCCGTCGTCATGAACAGCCTGCTGCCTTTGGGGGCTGTCGGAAATTCGAGCTTCGCCGAAAGCAGCGAAAACAAGAAGTCCGGATGGAGAGACTGAAAAGTCTGCAGTGACATGTCGCCTTTTGTTGACAATATGACTGCAATAAAACATGGCCATTTTCCACATTTCCCTTCCCTTGCCCACGTTATCTGCTGTTAAACAAAGTAGGACAAATTAAGGGTGAATGGAGGTTAAATGAGACAGTAGGAGGTTGTCAGGTTTAATTTCAGCTTTTTCTTTGGATGATTGTGACCTTAATGATTTTTAAATAGTGTTGAAATCATTTTACTGTTCTGGGGAAATCAAAAGAGCCTGTTTTGAGTGACGTTGATCGAACATTTAATGATACAAAATATGCCCGTGTGTGTGTTTTTACAAGAATATACATGAATAAACTGTTTTGTGCTGTCCTGTACTAAAGTATTTTCATGTCAAAAATGTAAATATCAGTGATAAGAAAGTAAAGTTTTAACTTTTGGGCTGCTCCCTTCAAGAGTAAATTATTGCAATATTTAAACAGTAAAAACAAAGAAGATTTCTATAAATATTATTTAACATATATGTTGCAGGTACATATCGAGGAACATCAAATGCATCATCTCATGCAACATCTTATGCACAAGTAAGAAGTTTCTGTTGCTACTTCTGTAAAGATTACCCCCAGAGGCATTTTTCCCGGGCAATGAATGAAGATTTCCCATTTGGTCTTGCAGGACTAAAGTTGTACTCGCTTATGATTTAATGACAATTTGTTAATTTAAACATCCATACAGAATAAACATTTGTAATTATAAAACTAAATGTAAATTCTTAAAATGAAAGGAGTCTTACTTCACGACTCACTTTCATTGCTAGTTACGCATAAGATTAACTTTAACACTTTTAACTTTTAATTTCGTTGCATTAGTAAAATCATTTCAATGCTGTTTGGTGTTTAATGGTCAGGAGGGGAATTATAATGCACAAACAATGGATGGAAATGCAAGCACAGTTTGGATGATTGGGATTTTGGAGATGGGGTAGGGTTACTAATAAAGAACTGATCAATGGTGAACCGTTGTGTATGCTGTGTTTGCTCTAGATGGATGATTCTCAACCATCTTCATGTATTTAGACAAGACATGGACTAAAAGCGCCAAGCTTAACCTTAAACACCAACAAAGCCAAATCCAACATAAAGTTTGGCCTTGACCTCTTAACCTATCCCTAACTGATCATTCTTTTGCAGAGTAAAGTAGCATGAGTAAGACAGGTAGAGAGATGCAATGCACATTTAGCAGACGCTTTTATCCAATGTGAGAGTAGATACACATTCATACACCAGTGGCCACAGAGCTGCCATGCAAGGTGCTGCCTGCCATCGGGTTCAACTTGCCCAAGTTGTGTCTTGCTCAAGGACACTTTGACTTTTGAGGGGCAGGGGATCAAAACCACCAACCTTGCCATTAGAGGACAACCCACTCTACCACCTGAACCGCTATGGATTGCAATAAGAGAGTGAAAGGAAAGACTAAACAGCAAGCAAAAAATATGACAAAGGACAGAATAAAGGGAGCTGGTGGAGAGTTACAGTGGAGGCAGAGAACATACACGAGTTAAGATTCTTGCTCAGGGCGCGAAATGTGCCAAAATCAACTCAGTATTAAATGTGTTCAATAAAATTTTAGGGGAGAGAACTAAGTGAGTGAGGTGGTTGTTATGACAGCGAGGAAAGGCAGCTTTATACTGTTTAAGTCTTCAGTAATGAAGTTTTACAGAGATGAACGTGAAGTCTGAATTGAAAATGAGCAGCAGGATGAAAACCCATCATCAGCTACACAC